GTGTAGCCCTGGCTGTCCTGGAACTCACTCTGTAGACCAGGCTGGCCTCGAACTCAGAAATCTGCCTGCCTCTGCCTCCCAAGTGCTGGGATTAAAGGCGTGTGCCACCACTGCCTGGCCAAACCTTTTCATTTCATATTCAGTTAATTAGACAGAGTCCTGGATGGAAAGTGAGAACAAGCAGCCCTGCTGTGCTACAGAGCATTTGAGGCTGGTGAGCACCGCAGTGTCTCAGACTAGAAGAGCTAGTCCACCTGCTGCACTTGAATGAGACAAAGGAGCACTTGTAAGGTTACAACACTTGCTAGACTGGCACACGTGTTTCTATGGGCCAAAGAAGACCTCCCCCTCACTGCAGTTGGACCTGCCTGGGAAACAGCTGCAACAGGCCACAGGGAAATGGTCAGTCATGCAGATCATGAAGCCAGGATTCAGAGGTTCAAAATACAGTGAAACCCTTGGTGAAACCCTGAGGGCATAAGGCATCTTATCCCCATCTTTCCAGAGTGGGGAAAGGTCACAGCAGGTATTTGTACAAATATCTGCTGCACCTGCAAGAGCCCAGGACTGCTGGGGCCCAAAGACAGAAACAGATTTGATTCAACCTTCCCTGTAAACCTGGGATCCAGGAACCACTGTAGTATCCTGAGCTGAACAGCAGAGGGAGACAAGGGAATCTGAAACTTGAGAAAGGTAAAAAAATGTATTTTAATACTAAAAAGGAACTGGATATTAAAATTCACATATACATATAAGTAATTAAAAATTGATAAATTTAAAGATATAAGGCATATAAAGATGAGAGACACAGTAACAGAGGTTTTGGAATTTGTCTAATGCTCTTTACAATTATTCCAAGATAAAAGAGAGAAGAAAGATCATATTACTTATTATGACATTACATTAGTAATCCTCAATTTTAACCTTAATAATTGTTTTGGCTTTTCATGTCCTCTCAAAAGATAAAACTTTAGAAAGAAAAATCACAAGATTTTACAGATCAGACTATGTTTTGAACCTCCATGTTCCTGCTGCATGATCTGGATGGCCGACCCCTCTCCCTGTGGCCGGTTGCAACTGTTTCCCAGGTAGGTCCCCACCAGCTGCACCTAGATGAGGGGTGGTCTTCTAGAATACCAGAGATGGAACAAAATGAGAGAAATACATTTTGGAAGCAAGCTTTAGAGGAAAATTTACAAAAACATAGACTGAGGAAAATGCTAAAATATCAGATGTAAAACAGAGAAAATGCCATTTGAAAACAAACTTCAGAAGAAAAATTAGGTTTATAAAAAAGATACAAGCCGGGCAGTGGTGGCGCACGCCTTTAATCCCAGCACTTGGGAGGCAGAGGCAGGCAGATTTCTGAGTTTGAGAGTTTGAGGCTAGCCTGGACTACAGAGTGAGTTCCAGGACAGCCAGGGCTACACAGAGAAACCCTGTCTCGAAAAACCAAAAAAAAAAAAAAAAAAAGATACAAAGATGATAATGATTCAGGAAAAGAATGAAAAGTGGAGACAAGTCTTAAAAGAAAATTTACAAAAAGTTCTTTAAAAAATTGAGATAGATAATAAGATAGGGACAGAGGAAGGCCAGAACATAGAACACCACCTTATAACAAGACTGCAGGGCAGTCTATATCTGTTAAGAAACCTAAAATGACTTTTCCAACCTTGATAAAGGAATTAGCAGATGAGGGAAGAATTCAAATAGTAACCTCTAGAGAGGAACAGGATTTCAAAAGGTTTAAGGAAGCAGTAAACAAGTTATGGCTTATACTCACCATATGTCAAACAGATACTTAATAACTGGGCCACACAGAATCATATAACTCCAAAAGAAAGATTTGATGACAGCCATCCTAGAGCCTGGCCCTCAAAATATAATGGCTAACGTGGAAAGATGCGACCTCGATCATGGAGCAGTGAAATAGGACTAGAGGCATTGATATTGTCAAGAATCAGTGACTGGTTGAAGGTCCATATTCTGAATTGAGAGTACAGATTACCCTTGATTGCTGTTCTAGACATCATACAATAGCCTTCAATGCTTGGGACAAGGTTGAACAACAGGGACGAACTGAATCATTTACAAAGATAATCCAGGATTCAAATGAGTCTTTCACTGACTTTTTACAAAGATTTAACTACAGCTCTGAGTAGAGTGATGTCAGATCCAACTGCTAGAGAAAGTTTAACTGGATCTGTAGCTTTTGAGAATGCTAATGCTGAATGCAAAAAGGCCACTAGACCTTTAAGAGCAAGATCTGCATTCTTTATGAATGGAATAAAACTACTGCAGACAAAGAAGCAAATTCTCACCATCTGGTTATAGTTAGGCAGACAATTACAGGAGATTTAAAAACACAAAATGCCCATTGTTGTGGCTGTGAAAGATCGTGTCATTCCCTAAAGGACTATGAACAAACAGTTCTTAAGGAAAAATTCTTCTATAATAGTAATAATTCAGGGAAAAGGTTTCCTGTAAAATGTAGATGATATGGAAGGAACAGTCATGTGGCTCATGAATACAGGTCATCCAAGGATATCCAAGGCAATTCCTTAATTTCAGAAAACTTAAGGCCCAACAAAAGACATGAGCCGTTCATTTCCTGACCATCAAGGAAAGATTATTCTGAAACACAATTAGATAATTCAAAGCCTGATAAGACAAACAGCTGCCCAAGACTTAAACCACTTAACGGAGATAGAGCAGCTCCTAGGGAATTCTAAAGATGCCCAAAACAAAACAAACCACCCCCCCATATTTTGTCAAACTACTATATAAGATAGGAGCTCAAAGTTTAAATTACCATTAGATGCCATTGAGATTGAAGAATTAGTGGATACTGAAGCAGATGTAACAATTTCCCAAGATTCTTGGAATTCAGCTTGGATACTTCAAAAAGTATCTACATAGCTTCTAGGGATTCGGACATTGTCTCAGGTAAAACAAAGTCTAAAATGGATTAAATGTATAGGACCAGAAGATCAAATAGAAAGGCTAAAGGCATATGTGTCAGATATAGCTGGGAAGTTATGGGAAAGAGATTTATTGCAACAATGGGGAATACAGATGAACTCTGCTCCAACTTTAAAGACAGGCTGTGAGGGAGGAAATGTTTCTGATAAGGAGATGAAAAGATGTTATTGAAGACAGTTACCCACTGTCCAACCTGTCCATAAGCAGGGTACAATAGAAGCTAACTCTTCAACTTTGTAGGGAGGCCACTGCTGATAAAAACACCAGCTGCCCTTCCACTAAACTGGGGAACTGACAAACCTATTAGGATAAAACAGTGGCCTGTGACACAAGGAAAGTTACAGGCACTAGAACAGCTAGCCCAAGAGCAGCTGCAAGCTCAACATACAGAAGAGGCCACCAGCCCTTGGAATTCTCAGATATTTGTTGTTAAAAAGAAATCTGGCAAATGGAAGATGTTGACAGATCTGAGAGCAATTAAGAAAATCACTCAGCCAATGGGCTCATTACAGCCTGGAATCCCATTACCTTCCTTGTTACCTAAGGAATGGCCTATTATAGTGATTGATTTTAAAGATTGCTTTTCCACAATCCTTTTACATAAATACGATATGGAAAGGTTTGCTTTCTCAGTACCTACTTTGAATAGACGTTGTCCAATAAAGAGATAATATTGGAAAGTCTTTGGAAAACCACAAGGAATGTTAAGTAGCCTACCTAAATAAGTAGTAATTGATGCCAATACTTTGTACAGTAGCCATTAGAAATAATACCTCTTTATTAGACAACGTCTATTAAAAGTTTTAAAAATGTATGTGTGTGAAGCTACATATGTATCACAGAATTCCCACTTTCATGTATTTAAGTGCTTCTTTGAATGTATGTCCAAAGTACATTCTTTGAATGTATTTGAATGCACATGCTTGCAGTGCCCCCAGAAGCCAGAAGAGGGCATCGGATCCCCTGAGACTAGATGTACAGATTGTTGTGAGCTTCCATGTAAATGCTGGGGATTGAACTCAGTTTCTCTGCAAGAACAGGCAATTCTCATAATGGTCATCTCTTCAAATCCAAGAGGAAAACTTTTGAGAGTGGGCCTTTATCTTCATTCTTGTTGGGGCATGGACTCTCTTATTTCTGTTGTGTGACATACTCTAGGGATCAAATTCACATCAGATTTGCAGGTCAAGTGCTCTTCCCCTCCCCGCCCCCACCTCCGCTGGCTCCATTGAATCACCCTTAGTGCCTGGCTTCCCTCAGGTTTCCAGGGCTTTAGATGCTCTAACTGGCTTTCCTTCCTCTGGCCTCCAGATCTTGGGGTTGCCAACTGCTTGTCCTTCCTTCCCCCAGGCGTTATTTTAGTACTTTGGTATGATCTTTCAAACAGTGAAGAGCTAGATTTTGCTTTGCGAGTCAGAGTCCTTTTTAGTAAAACATATTTATTAATACAAATAATGCAACCAAACTACCATTAAGTAAAACAACAGAGCGAAAACATAACAGAATATATCTCAAATAATATACCCATATAATATA